CAGGGACATTATGTTTGTTCATTTGGGCAATATGAGCTGTGAACGAGTACATGATTTGGCGTATGTGGGTAAAATAATGCCCTTCAACATGATAAGGGACCTACATAAATGAGTCGCTAAAATTTGATCCAGCGTTTTGTGCACCTTCCCCATAATATCCACTTTGCCCAAAATGCGCTTCTTAGATGCTGGCAATCTAACTGGTCCTCACGGTCCCTATGGTGATAATGGTTTCAATACCGACAAAAATCCTGTGTAAGCCCCTGTAACCCAGGTTTTGCGCTGCAGGTTCCCTATCAATGTGCTCACCCCCCTACCCAGGGCATCTGTCTACTTGGTGCTGGCTCCACGTTGGGCCAGTGGATGAGGTCATGTTGATTGGGCAAATAAGTAGATGACGACTCAGCTAGGTGGGGGCTTCCCCACCACTTGCCCGCGTCATAAAAGCCACTCCGTGGCCATAGTTTGTTAAACTAATGAGTATTTTACATCCTTCATTCCACCCTGATGTTCTGAAGATGTGTCGTCGCAGTGGCCAGGTAGTTTTCACTTCCCCTGAGTGTCTTATGATCCAAAGACCAATGCTGGATTTGTCTACTGTGCACCGGCTCGAAGGTGGCAGTTGGCTTCTGGATCACCAGTGACAACGAGGTTTCTGAAGGCGGACTTTAAGCGAATGTTTGCCAACGGTACCACTGAGAGCGAGGACGATGACTCTACAATCGAGTTTTGTGAGTGCCAGTCAATGCACAACTTTCTATGTTGTGGTCGCTTCTCTTTTTCTATCGCAATGATGGACACAGATCATCTGTTCCATCAGATGATGTCGAAGGTTCCTAAAGAAAAGCAGTTGTGTCGCACTTGGGAAGAACTTCCTCAAGGAAAGAAGAGGTGGTGTCTTTATCATTGGATTGGTACGAACATGTTTGGTTTGCGGGAGCGGGTTCCTCTACCCTCTTGCATTGTGGAATACGTCAGAGAGAAGGTTCCCAACGACGGTGACCTTGGGTTTGTTGGCTACCAGCCAAAGTACTCGCACAATTCTATTATGTCTCCCAAGCAAGCTGATGCTGGGATTGAAGAAGGCATTCCCGAAGAAGGCATTCCTGATGACAATGAATTCGACCAGGAAGAGCCAACCACAGCCGACTTCGCAGCTTATGCAAAGGTCATGGAAGAGGAAGAAAAGATGCGTCGTGCTTTTGAGCCAGCTGGTGAGAAGAAGGTGGCTACAGAGAAGAAGGTCGAGAAGAAGGAAGGCAGCTCTATCTGAAGCTCTATCTAAAGAAGCTGGAACGTCCACCGTACACAATAATCTAAAGAAGCTGGAACGTCCACCGTACACAATAATCGTTTAACACGTCACCACTATAAGTTACGCATTGTCTTCGTCATCGTCTTCTCTCATGGCTGTGTCTAGTAGAGAAGCAACTAGCCCGGCACCAAGACATTCATCTGAGTCCTCAATGTCAAGTGGAATGGTGTCAAGAAGGCTTTGTTGAGTCTTGTGTTGTTCCTTTTCTGGCATCGACTCGAGTTGTTCCAGTGAAGGGTGAGACGCATGGAGCTTCTTGTTCATTGAACAAAGACGGCTCGTCCTTCGCTTGTGTCCCCATTCGCGGCATGCTCTGCACCAATTGTCCAAAGCACAACCAGCAGGTGGTTGATTGTCGGGTGGAAGTACTGGTGTCTTGCTTTTCTTTCTCTTTTTACTCTGTGGTTCGCCACTGACTCTTTCTGGTTCATCTTCATTCAGAGCAGTGCAAGTCTCATAATACTGATTCTTGACACGGTCCGCCTTCAGCTGGGAATGGTAGGCAAGAAGCTTCGCATAGACCTTCTTGTTCCTCTGTTGTCGATAAGTTGACGTTTTCCTGCTGGCGATCCTTTTTGCTCTCCAGTTATCCACTTGCTCGAGATAATGAACAGTCGAAGCATCCAACTCCAAACCAAGGGTTTCGAATACTCTTGTGTAGAAAGCAAGAGGACCAAGGATGTTGATGCCAATTGCCATTAGCACTCTCACTTGCAGCGAAAGGGTACCGCTGTAGTGTTTATTTTTCGGTGCAAGCCATGAGATGGTGTTGTTCAGCGACTCGTTGCATTGAGTATCACCACCATGGACCACTTCCTCTAGTCGTTTCATGCGTGTGAATTTCTTCATAATGACACGAAGAACGTTGAAGAGCTCAGGTTCCTTTGTCATGGACTGGTACTGTTTGTCAGACTCCAATCTCTCTTCATCCGATTGGTCCATTCTAGAGCAGAACTCCTTGCTGCAGTACCGATGGTCGTCGAAATGATGGAAGAGAGGAGCTTGACTGCGCTCAGCCCAAGCGGAACGTGGTATCTTCAAAAGCTGCTTTACCATATAAATATAGCTAAGACATAAGCGTAGGATGTCACCCTCGCAAAGACCAAAGTTGAATTTCTTTTTCTGTGCCAGGAGTGCATAGAGGTCATTGCGAAGCCCTTTCTTGCGATGAGCCGGATCCGCGATAAACTCTGGTTCAGGAATGTCAACGGGCAATTGACCACCAGTACGCCTGACTTCTCTCCAAGTACTGCACTTATGAGTGGGTGGGGTTCTCGATTCGTTATGATGGGGAATGCAAACTTTACATGTCTTCTCGACATGCTGCTCCGGTTTTTTCTTGTACTGCATTACACAGCCCGCCAATGGAATATCAGTGAGGCCTTTTCGCAGAATGTAATCAGCATTTGACCATTTTGTATTCGCTCTCATGCTAGAGTCATCGTCTGTGATGATCTTTGTTACATGCAGTTTGTATTCGTCGTGTAAGAAAGACAGCATGTGAAGGAGAGCAGAGGCTTCCATTGATCCGGCAGAACCCTGATGGTTTATCTGACAATCATGGTTGACCGGTGGCTGTGTTTCCTTGGCAGAATGTCGCTTGCACAGAGAACAGAAGGTGCTCTTCAGACACCATGCCAATGGCTTACGTGTCTTCTGGCCAATCAAACAAGCATGTCCACTTTGCGAATCATGTCTTCTTCCGCTCCCACGCTTTTGCCAGCCCATATCCATTGATACCACCAGCACAAACAAAGCTTCAACCATAGCGGTAGGCATGTTGGTTCCTTCCTTGACATGGGACTTCCATTCATCAAGACTGAAGTGACCTGTAGCTATTTCGTCCTTCAACAACATCTCAATCTCCACCAAAAGATTTTCATGCATGGCCTCCTCTGACACTTTGCGAATTGTTGGATGCAAGGAGTCCACGATCTCCTTGAAGGTGTGAGACATCATGGATGTGGCACAGGGCATTCCCATCAAACCCAAAAGTCGCGACGCCTCAGTTCCACCATCACCTCCTGCGAGATGGGCCAAAATAAATCTCACATTGGTCTGGTATTTAGCGTTGGAAGCATTTCCTCGCTTCACCACTATGTTTGTTTCACTGCAATCGCCTTCAACCACTCTACCTCGACACCTGGGACTGTGGCAAACCATCCTCGGGGTAGCAGCCAGACATTTGGTCTTGAATGAAAATTCTGCGAAGCCTTTCTTCTTACAGACAGCACAGACCATGTTTTCCTCGATGAACCTGCAAAGACTTTTTGTCTCAACGATGTTACGAGAGGCTGTTTTGTCGGTGACCTTCACATGTTTGGCTGTTTGCGGCACTTTTTGCGGCTCTGGTGGAGGACTTTCTGCACGCATTTGATGAACAGCCGTGGTAACTTGCAAGTGCTGCCTCTGTGCAGGGGCACCCTTGTCCAAGCGACCTTTCACATTCCATGAAATATGCCCTCGAGATTCTGGAGCCATCTTGCGATCGTACCTGTTCAGCCCTTGCTCCAACCTTCCTTGCTCAAACCTTGCTCTCTCTTGCTGATTCTCATCAAGACAACCAATAAGCTGATCGAGTGTCATGGGTTCTCCCTTGCTTCTTGTACTGCGAGAAGAAGGCAGCGGTGTTACAAGGGGGGGAGGGCCTGGAACAGCCCCATCTGTCTCCTCTTCATCCGAACTCATTCCAACAACCCACTATGCTACAACACAACAGGAATGGTATGTCTAGAGAGAGGAACATCACTAGATAGCACTGAATGGAAATGATCGAAGTACGGAACACGGAAAGATAGATTTCGATTGGTTTATGTGAAGCCACGTAAATGGAGGGAGGTCGCCATTCTCCTGAAGTCTGATTGGCTAGAGCTAAGCGTTGAATGACATGGCTGGCAACAATAAAGAAGGGAACCTTCGTCTGCCTTGCCATGTGGATTCCCTATTCCACATTATGTTGGTTCGAGGTTCGAGCTCCACAAAGTATCTGAAAATGAACTCGAGAGAGCCTAGGCGTCTGTCCTTCTATCCGAAGGTAGGTATACATCCTTAACCACCGGTACAGTACCGTAGGAACACTCATCATAGCAGACGAAGAGACGAACCTCTTATCATTGTAACCCTGGACCTCTGTGGAAACTCGAGTCGTGCAACCGATCGTCTCTTAAATCCTTTTGATCGTCTCCTATTTAATGGATTTCGTCTCCTAAAAATAGTAGACGAGACGGATCGTCTCTTAAATCTTTCGTCTCCTCTTAAATCGTCTCCTATTTTCAACGGATTCTCCTATTCTCAACGGATCGTCTCCTAAGTGCATCATGTAAACTGTATGATATAGGCTCATAAACCTTTCAGATCGTCTCCTATTTCGAAACGATCGTCTCCTAAATGGAATGTCTCCTAATGAATCGTCTCTTAAATATAGGAGACGATGCTTTCGTCTCTTAAATCATTTCGATCGTCTCCTAAGCCTTGGTGTATCGTCTCTTAAGTAATTTGCCGCGAATGATGTTTCCACAGAGGTCCTGGAGTCGAAGAGGAAGACCCATCAGGGACAACAGGACTGGACCATGCAGCCACACAAACAAAAGCAGGCCGTCACCAAAAGACCGAGGAGGTCCATATGCGACCACGAAAGCCTGCAATGCAAAACATGTAGAGTGATCTGGGTATTAAGACCGACCGTTCCGCGGAATATTCTCTTCAGGTCTGTATATCAAATATAGTACATGTAAAGAGGGGAATCGATAGAACACATGTAGTTGAGTATGCCATAAATCTCGCAGCCTCATAGTGTACTTATTGGTGGAGTTACGGGCGGTTGAAGATATCCACCCAACTGACACGAATTCTTTTTCTCTGCAGATTAAGACCGATGACGTCAGTCGTGCCTCTAGTACTGAATCTACGTAGGATCCTACGTACGCACCTCTATCGAGTGAAACTCCGCGGTACGCGGTATCTTTCGCACCTCTATCGATCGTTGCTTTGCTCCCGTAGAGGTGCGAAGCACCTCTTTGGCTCTTCGCACATGCATAAAGCACATGCATAAAGCACCTCTATCGAAGCACCTCTATCGAAGCACCTCTATCGACACTCCTTCTTTTATCGTTCGTCTACCGACACTCGTTCCTCTCTTTTATCGTTCGTCTACCGACACTCGTTCCTCTCAAGATGGCCGTTTCCGACAGCACTGACGATGGCATTGACGAAGGCATTGACGAAGAAGACGATGGCATTGACGAAGAGGATTACGAAGAGGATTACGATCATGATAGGGACTTCCAGATCAAGTACGTTGACCATTACAAGCAGGCTAACGTTACGGACTTCTTCAAGCAGAAAGGGAGACGCGGCAGGCCCAAGAGATCGACTCTTGCGAGTGAGACCGTTCCTGTGAAGAAGAGAGGTGTTGGCCGTCCCAAGGGATCAACCAAATTCAAATCCACCACGGAGAAGGAGAAAGCAACAAAGAAGAAGAAACAATCGGTAAAGAAGGCTCCTCCTGTTGCTGCCGCAAAGGTTGATGCGCCAAAGAGGAAGCGCATGAATTGGTCTGGACCCAAGAACAAGCCGCAGTTTGACTCTGCCAAGAAGGAGTGGCTCAACAGGATGGAAGGGCTCTGGATTCCAATGGAGAGCCAACCGTCTCTATGGCTCAATTCGCCAAGATAGTTGGTATTCCCTACAATACGTTCAAGGCTCATGTCTGTACAGACGAATCCAAAAGACGAACAATTACCAATGGCCAAGGAACACGCCCCGTGATATCGAAAAAGGATCAAGTGTTTGTTGCCACAGTTGCAGCCAGGATGGATAGAGGCAATGATGGAGCCTCCGCTAGAGAGTGCCTAGACATGATCCAAGACGTTGCTCCCAACCTCACTCGCAAGCAGGCTTCGGAGCATTTCCACCGTACTTTATTGAAGTCTTATCCTAGCATCATCAAGGGTGTAAAATACTCGTTAGTTTAACAAACTATGGCCACGGAGTGGCTTTTGTGACGCGGGCAATGGGTGGGGAAGCCCCACCTAGCTGAGTCGTCATCTATTATTTGCCCAATTCAACATGACCTCTCCACATGGCCCAACGTGAGCCAGCACCAAGTAAACAGATGCCTGGGTAGGGGGGTGAGCACTTTGATAGGGAACCTGCAGCGCAAAACCTGGGTTACAGGGGCTTACACAGGATTTTTGTCGGTTATTGAAACCATTATCACCATAGGGACCGTGAGGACCAGTATATATTGCCAGACCAAAAGAGTGCTCGCCAGTAAGTGTGTCTGGGTGATCAGGTCCCAAGCTGGGCAAGGGCCTTGGCATGCAGGCAAGATGCCAGCAGAGCCCGTAGGAGGTGGTACTCCTCAGGCTGGACCAGAGCGGGGTGTAACCCATCCAATGCACAAAAAATTGTTAGATAGAGGCCAACAAGCAGGCAGAATATGGGGTCAAATGACACACTGGCAGTGTTGTGGTTCCCAAGAGGGAGGCACAGTGGCTTGCTGGAGTGTTGTGGGCTGTTCGAGGGGTTGTTGAGTCAATAGAAGGAGGATAAGGGGGCACTGGAAGTGGGCTGGTGCCAGGGGCAGGAGGGGAGATCCTGTTTTGGTGTTGGAGTGTTGTTGTAGGAGTTGGGATGTTGCATGGTTTGATGGTGTGTTGTAGGATAGAGCGTGCTCTGTTCAAGGGTGAGAACAAAGGCATCCTCCCTGATAGGGTAGAGTGTGTTCGGAAGGGTGTGATCCTCAGATGGCTGCATACTCTAGGAGCTGTTGGCTGATAATCTGGGAGTGGTGTTGTGAGTCGCGGAGATGGTGGATGTGGTTGGTGGGTGAAGTGTGGGAGTGGGGGAATGTCTGGGAGGACCTGGGGTTTGAGTGAAGTAGTGGGTAGACATGGGGAAGTCATGGTGGGTGGTAAGGTTGGGTTGGTGGGAGAGGAGTGTATCCTGGAGTGTTGACTGTAGTGTCGTTGCTTCAACTCAAGCAATGGAGTTGCTTGTGAGGTGGCGAGATGATTGATGTAGAAGGGTGTCATTCAAGGGGCAATGCACTGAGGCACTGGTAATCAAGGTTTATATCAAGTTGTTGGGTTGTTGTTGCCATTGGATCAAAGGCTGTGGCCAAGTCTGGTGCAAGTATACCACTACCTGCAGGAGAAGATGGTATCAGAGCCAAAGGCTGTTAGGGATTCTTTCAGGGAAAACTGGAGAAGTCACGCTATAGCCAGTAGAGGCAGTGGTGGGGGATCAAGGGTTGTTGTTGGTTGATGTGGGCTGTGTTAATGGGTGACACTGTGTTGATCTCAAGGCTGGTACTCAATCTGTTGTGAGGGATGCAAAATGCAACAGAGAGTCAAGCCAAGATGTGGAAAGGGTACTCGATTCAGGTGGAACTGTGGAAAGTCACTGGAGAGTCACTCAACAATCAATGA